TGTAATTGTATTATATTATGTTGTAAAATACTAGTAATCAGTTTATTGATTGCATGATTATATATTAAGTTAATATGTTAATAATTAAGTACCATATTTGCATGTTCACACTTCTCTGACATTGATTTATGGTCACATGACATGCAGGTAAACTTGTTGTTATTTGAAAATTATTTATTGTAATTGTAAATTTTTTATGATTTAATTAACTATTTGCTTTTCATTAAACTCACCGACCTCAGTTCGGGAAACCTTGATGTAATGTGATGTTCTTATATATGAACATATATATAATATATGTTCTTTCTATTTGTATTTTTATATCAGTATGGTACAAGATCATCCTATTTAAATCAATGTGATAAACAAGTTAGGTCAAAAGTAATCTACAAGTAGATTATATTACTCTCCTTCGTAGTTTTAGTGTTTTATTTCTTTCGTCGGATACCATATTGAAAGGTGCAGCATGCGGAAGATTGGTGTGCAGAAGGTAGCTCAGGTAGGCCAAACAACACATGAGGGGAAGCGTTGGGATAATACAGTATCAGCAATCACAGACGTTTGCGTTCGGACGGGAACAGATTTCCCAGAGGACCGTTGAGTTTGCCGAACAACGGTAGGTCATTTGCTCTGGAATTTTTGCAGAGGTTTTGTGAGAAAAACACAGACTTGGCAGATTCTCTCAGGATTAAAATCACAAAGTGCGTCTGTGAAACGCAAATTTCTCAAGCGTCCCCTTTGAAAACTAGTCCCATCTGAATAGGGCTTTAAATCATCTAAAACACAAGACACTCTGTGTTTACATGATACCTGCTTTATTTTGGATGAATACAGTGCTTAGCATATTTTATACATTTTATACATGTATCCAATGCACACACACACTCTGAGCTTGCCCTGGTTAATTGATAGAGTGTGAGTTGCATCTGTCCGAAGATGTGATTTTTTCCTCCATGTGCTGCTCGTCACCCCTCCATCTGTCAGGTTAACACGGTAATTACTTTCCTCTCCGAGACAAACTGTTATAACGCTTCCCAAAATTAAACAACACGACACTGTCCTCTGACATCAACATAGACCTGATTTTACGAGTGAGATCTCAGCTCTCAGTTTGTAGTAAAGCTCTTGCAGCGATTAAAGGATGAACACGCATGGAAAAGTGCTCAGAATTTATTTCAGAGAGTATTTATTTATTCACTTTGGCTTGTTAAATAAATAAATAATTTCTGACTGTTTGCTCATGCAGTATGCTGCATTCTGTGCCACTGGCATAAAGTTTACTAAGCGTAAATCAAAGACGACTACTGTATCTGCCAAAGAAATACAGCCAATATATTACTGAAAGCAACTTTCCAATGCAGCTTCATCGAAGAAAAAAATCTGGCCTCGTCCCAGCTACTACACAACCAGACACTGGACAGAAAAAATAACACAGTATTTATTAAGAGTATAGTGGCAACATTGTGGGCCACACAAGCCAAACCTACACACACACACACACACACTCACTCACACACACACACACACACACACACACACACACTCACTCTGTAATGTGATGTTCTTATATATGAACATATATATAATATATGTTCTTTCTATTTGTATTTTTATATCAGTATGGTACAAGATCATCCTATTTAAATCAATGTGATAAACAAGTTAGGTCAAAAGTAATCTACAAGTAGATTATATTACTCTCCTTCGTAGTTTTAGTGTTTTATTTCTTTCGTCGGATACCATATTGAAAGGTGCAGCATGCGGAAGATTGGTGTGCAGAAGGTAGCTCAGGTAGGCCAAACAACACATGAGGGGAAGCGTTGGGATAATACAGTATCAGCAATCACAGACGTTTGCGTTCGGACGGGAACAGATTTCCCAGAGGACCGTTGAGTTTGCCGAACAACGGTAGGTCATTTGCTCTGGAATTTTTGCAGAGGTTTTGTGAGAAAAACACAGACTTGGCAGATTCTCTCAGGATTAAAATCACAAAGTGCGTCTGTGAAACGCAAATTTCTCAAGCGTCCCCTTTGAAAACTAGTCCCATCTGAATAGGGCTTTAAATCATCTAAAACACAAGACACTCTGTGTTTACATGATACCTGCTTTATTTTGGATGAATACAGTGCTTAGCATATTTTATACATTTTATACATGTATCCAATGTTACATACACATAGAGTCATTTAACTACATTTTAGAAATAAAAATCAAGCATTTTAAAAGTAACTCAATCCACCAGTTTCTGTTACCTGACGGAACTGACTTGATGACACTCAACGCTCATTTAGCTGACTGACATCTCATCTCAATTAAACCGCTAGAACCGCTCTCTCGTAAAGAGAAGTGTGACTCAGTGACTCAACCGCTGGACTGAGAACAGCACAGCTACCCAACAATGTAAAACAATAACCCTAAATCAGAGTTTGGGTAGACAAATATAGCCCAGCATTTTGAGAGTGCAATAAGAAGCAATAAACAAATGATTTAGAAATATGCCAGTGCCAGAGTCTTGAAATCAAGAGCGTCTCCTGTGCACTGTTTGCATGACATAGAGATTTCCAAATCAGACACTTATGAGGTTCTGTTGAAACTAGCATGCTGTCTCATAAGTGTACACTACAGGCAATTTTTTTCTAACAATAACAGCAGATGGAAACACACACACACACACACACA